TAAATTGCTGCTTTGCTGCTGATTCCCTGGGGAAGGCTTTTTGTGAAGCTCAGGTTTTAATTCTTGACCTTATATGTACTTCCAGGTCTTGTAAGGTCCAGCACACCTAGGTTGTGTGGAAACTCTGGTCGGGCCCTGAGATTTTCCAGCAAACTGCACCCCCTGCAGATCTGTATTCCTCGCCAGTGTCTACTGCATGGTCCTGTGCTGACTGGGGTGCAGATCAGCTGTTCTTGCTGTGCCCCAATGTTCCCCTGGTGGGCCTGTCTCTCCTATCGCCTGTACTCTAAACACTTCCCATGGGATGGGCCATGCACCAGTCCCTTGTAATGACTCACTGGCCTCTGAGTGGATTCTTTTTTCAGTTGTTGTGGTTCCTCACTCCTGTATGGGTCCACAGGAACCCTGTTAGTGGTCTTGCTGGCCTGAGGGCAACCAAGGCCCTCTTCTCACCTGCTGCCCCTAGCAACTTCATAGGAAGGGCACAGTTGTGGCTTTTGCCAGGTCTTTCTCCTTGTGCTCACCAGTTCCAGCCTTGCAGTAGCTGGGGCTAAAAATGGTGGGAGCAATCCTTTCTCTCTCTCCTCATGGCTTTTCCTGCCTTCATGAACTCTGTATGTCTCTCCTCCACTTTCCCTGATTTCTAGCAGCGCCAGCTTGGCTGTTGTTGCTTTTTAATAGTTGTAAATTGGTTGATTTGTGGAAGAGAGTGATGCTGGGGACCGTCTATTCCACCATCTTGACTGGAAGACTTTTCATTTCAATTTTTACATTGGTAATGTGTTTTATAATAACTTTTCAAAGAATATCAGAAGTGCCAGCGATCAATATAGTAGTACAAGTTTAATGGAAGTTGTTATCTGGATATAATCCTAAAGTTCTGGTCCGTCCCTCCTTCCCCATAGGGCTGTCCCTGCTGATTTCTCAGTCATCCTCCCCCACTTCCTCCTACTCCCTATGCTCCATGCACATGGAGGTCCTTGCTAGTCCCAGCTTATAGTGTCCTTCAAGACCTTCCCCCTTGCTGTACCCTTTCCTGAAACTCTCTTTCCTCAGATATACACATGGCACAGTACCTCACTGCTTTTGGTCTTTGCTGAAATGTCCCCTCATCAAGGTGCCTGTTCTGATGACCCCACCACTACTCAGCACCCTCTAGACCTCTTGCCTGTTTTATAAAGTTCACAAGAGGCGTCACCCCAGACATATTACAAATATGCATGCACACTTGTTTGTTATCTGTCTCTTCCCTACCAGAGTGTAAACTCAAGAGCAGGGCCATTGTCAGTTAAGTTTATAGCTGTTTAGTGCCCACAGCAGTGTCTGGCATAGAGGAGACCCTTAATAAATATTGTTTGTATGAATAAATGACTCTTGTTTATCTGGCTGATTGCTATTTCTGGATCATCTTAGATACTTAAGTTGGCCAAAGATTACTTCTCCACCCCATCGAGCTGAGCCAAATCCTCAGTGAAATGACTCTTGTTTATCTGGCTGATTGCTATTTCTGGATCATCTTAGATACTTAAGTTGGCTAAAGATTACTTCTCCACCCCATCGAGCTGAGCCAAATCCTCAGTATTTTGAATTGTAGAAATCCTAGAATCATCCCGGATAGAATCTTTTTCCATCTCCTTCCGAAATCTCTTAACACTTGGTTAGGTATCTGGCCTAGCACTTAGCCCCATCTCTGATGGAATGTAACAGACATATTATTCTGGCTATGCCTTTTTTCCTTTGGTTTCTCTTTCCAGCCCATTGTTTTGTGCTGATAGTTACTGCTCACCTGTCTGTTTGTATTTTGAACCTTTCCTTGTTTTGCCCAATTCTGATCTGCAGTCTTAAGAGCCTCTGGCTCTGGAAACAGGCCTACCTGGGGCTGAGTCCTATGAACTACAGACACTGGACAAGTGATTTGACCATTATTTCTGCATCTCTGTTTTCTTATCTAGTAAAATGGGACTTTGTAATAATCCTACCAACCTCATTGGGCTGATGTGATAATTATATAAAGTAACATACACAACTGACTTTGCACAGGGCTTGGCAAATGGTAAATACTTGAGCAGTTTTGGCAATTATCATTGTTAATATTATGGGAAATGAGCTGAAACCTCTCTCTAAATCATCTGAATGTCACATGTACTGGGTCATGCCCTGTTGCTAATGAATCTAGACAAGTCTATTTAAACTGCATCTGCACGATTTGTTCCTGTTCTCTGCTATTTGTTTTCTGGAAAGTATTGTAAAAATTGAAGAAGTCTTCAGAGATGTCAGGACAAAAGTACCATGTTTGCTCATTTAATTTCTCTTTTTCATAAGAATTTGAGTGTCACAAAGGGCAGGGAAAGGGTAGCACAGAGAAAAAGGTACAGAAACATTGCTATGATTTTGTTAATCTGGGAAAACAGGACCATCAGTCTCTTCTGACAGGTTCCCTGGCTATTGGTACCCATGCCTCTTGGGGCTAATAGACTAATGTAGAAATCAGATAGCAACATATGGTGTAAAGGTTTAGAGCATCATCAGGTTCTGGAATCAAATGGATTTTAATTCCTTCTCTATCACTCAATTTAACTTTCTTGAGCTCCAATTTTCTCATCTGTGGTATGTGGGTAGCAGTAGAAACTACCTCATGGGCTTGTTTTGAAATTTAAATAAGAAAATGCTTTGACACACTCAACACAATACTCAACATGTAGTAAGCCTTCAACAAAATTAGGTATCATTATGAATAAGGATATTATATTATTTACAGTATTAAATATATAAAACAAACAATGCTAAATGAGATGAAGGGCAGTAAAGGGGCAATAAGAGGTCACAGAAGGACCTGGCCTAATGTGGGGATTTGGGAAAGCTTTCTCAGAAGAAAGGACAGGGAATCTGAGAATGGAACAATCATTTCTCTGGAGAGAGAATGGAACAATCATTTCTCTGGAGAGAGCACTCCACAGACCAGCATCTGTGAAGGCTTCGCTGGGGGAAAGAGGTTGTTAATTTGAGGAGCAAAAAGAAAGTGGAGATGTAGCATGTTAAGTAAGGGAGAGAAGAGCCAGCCAATGATTGGGGCTCAGGAGGGTGACAGGGGCCAGAGGTACTATAGGCCTCGTGGAAGGTTCTGAATTTGTAACTCCAGTACGGAGGAGAGGACTGAAGGGTTATTAGCAGGCTGGGACATAGCGAAAATCTCTTCTTTAGCAAAGATCATGCTGGCTGCTGTGTGGGGAGCCGAGGGGCATGAGAGTGGAAGGAGAAGCAGTTCCACCTGCCCACTGAGAGATGATAGTGACTTTTTTTGAGCGGTGGTGGTGGAGGTGGAGAGAAGTGGGATTTTTTCCTGCTGTAGGTTGGTTGGAAATTAAGTCAGCACACTTGGGAATACAGTCATAAGAGGATTCAGAAATACTTCTGTTAACTGGGGAAATGGAATGACATTGGAATTATTCGGTGGAACTTCAGAAAATGGAGTCAAGACCAAGGGTTAGACATTCTGAGGAGGCCAAGGTCAGCTTACCATTAGGAAGTGTATGTCACAATTAGAGATGTCCACAGGGGAGATGGCCACTGGGTGGGTCAGGAGTTCACTGTCGTTAGAACATTTCAGAGAATGATCACCTGTTAAGGGACTCCAGATGAAATGTTTTTGAGGGTGCTTTTACTTTAAAATACTAGGATTCCATAATAAGTTCGAACTGACCATTTAATTTTATTACTGACTATAAATTAAGATTTCTGCATGCATTCTGTAACAAATGTTATTTTTATTTAAAGTTATTCAAGATTCCTCATTGTCTGGGTTCACATTACAAATAAAGTTTGTCTTTAGAAAATTTGGCATAAAACCAAAACCAGTCATGTTTTACATTTAATTGCAGATTTAATTTGCTTCGGGTTCTTAGTATTAAAAAAATTAAGTTCCAAAAGAATTAGGGAACAAGTTCAAATTTCCTATTTGTTAGTTTCCTATTTGTTTTAGGAAATTGATGCAAGGGACACATAAAAGAACATGTGTTCTTAATGATTGTTTATGACTCAGCAAAACATCAGGCTCACAGCCAATCACTAGTAATTTAAAAGAGCCTTTGAAATATGACAACTATTAATGGGAAAGTTTTCTATAATCATTTTAAAACTATGTATTGTTTCCAGTCATGTATATCTTCTTTCTTCTGTTTTACTGTCTTCTCATTTTTACTTTCTGCGTTCTTGTTAAGCAGGGTGCACACAATATACATTTATAATGTGGTGCATCTTTCCTTTTTCCAGTTTGTTCATGTGGTGTATAAGCACATTTTGTTTTTGAAACTTTTCTTTCCTAGCAGGACTTTAAATTGGGAGAATAACTTAGCAACCCTGAAGAGTTTGGGACAGAAAATAAATATATTTTTTTGCTCTGCTCAGTACCAGCACTACTATTTTTACCTTCTCGTACACTGTTAAGAGAGAATATTCTGTTTACTTTTTTAAAAGGAAGAACATTTCCTTTTATGCACAAAACATTCCAGTTGCCTTATTTTTCTCTCTCTGTGCTTGGTTGCATAAGCTGTCTGGTACTTTGTTTCAGGGGCAGTCATGGTGACTAACTAAGTTAATGCTTCCAGCTAGCTCCAGGGACAAGTGGATCTTTACATTTTTCACCCTACCTTCAACTCTTTGTTTTTTAAAACATGGAATGATTACAATCAAACATTATATCCCTCTAATTCTTTCCATGTGGTTTCTCAGAGTGAAGTGGGGACAAAGGGGGTGGGTGAGAGGAACATCCCAGATCTCTCTTAGAACAAGATTTTATGCTAATTTGATTAGACAATCATGGAAACAATACATGCGGAAGATTGGTAGACAACCCTCAGCATGTATTATGACTCCGATTTGGCTGCTGTTAAGAATTTCTATGAAATAGCTAAACCGGAAGTCATTTCAGAGCAATGAGGCTAAACTGGAACTTCTGGTAGGAGGTGTTCCTGGGACTCCAAAAAGTCTGTGGCCAAATATTTTGGGTTATGGACAGGTAAATTCTTTAGATGATAGGCTGAGTTCATTTCTTCATTCATTCATTGATTTATTCATTCATTTGCTGACTACCTATGAGAACCTAGATTACATTTTACATGCTGAGGAGATCGTAATGAAGGAAAACACATCCCTCCCTTCAAGAAGTTTCCAGTCTAGTGGTGAAACAGACCTTACAGTATAATACTTACAGTAATTTTAAGTACTTAAATGCAGACAGTGCATTGAGAACATATAAAGGTGGGCAGTAAGTCTATCTGAGGGCAGTCCAAAAAGTCTTCCTAATGGAGACTAGAAAAAGAGTGAGATTTTGGCAGGCAGATAAGGACTGGTGTCTGGGAAAGGGCATATATCACTGGGGAAAAAAAAATTTGAGGAGATAAAATAAAATAAACAGAGAAATAGGGGCACAAGAGAGCCACAGGCTATTGGGGAAGTACAGATAGGAACATCTGGTATGTTGCTGGGGGAGGGGAAAGAGTGGAGGGTTCAAGAGAGATCTCATATGACATTCTGGGAATTTTAATTTTATCCTATTTGGCCATGAGGAGCTACTGAGGAATTTTGAGTAGAGGAGTGACATAGATTTAATGATGTTGTTCTGGTAGCAGCTTACAGTGCAGATCCCAGGTAGACAAGAAATGAGCATGTCATTTAGGAGACAATTTCAAATGATGATGTAGTAGACCAATAGCACGTGATGATGTAATAACTGTGGGGTTAGAGGGGAAGATTACAGATTCAGGAAATATTTAGAAGATAGAAGTCACAGCATTTGGTGTTTATTAAATGTGGGAGGAGATAAAGGAGAGATAAAAGTGTGGATTTTCTTTTTAATTTATTGAACTTTTATAATGTGCTGGAACTTTACAAAGATTCCCTCATTTAATCACCATGCCAGTTTGATGAGGTAGATACTATGATTATCCCGTTTTACAGATAGGCTATCTGAGACTTTGAAGCTAAGTAACTAGCCCAAGATCAGAGCTAACAAATGGTGAACTGGAATTTAACCCCCCACTCTGACCCAGAGCCTGCCTGCCTAGTTATGGTGCTTAACTGTATCTCCCTGGTGGTGCCTTTTCCAGTGATGGCAAATACAGGACAGGGAGTAAACCTGGGTGAGGAGATGAGTAAACGTCAGGAGAACAGAGACCATTCTGTTTCCCATTTACCATAATGTATGACTATATAATTTGTAAAACAAGCTTACATTGCTTTTCTGATTAAAAAAAAATGCTCAGCTGGTAATATTCAGCTTATAATACCACCTTGTGCGGGTTTAAATATCTGCAGTCTAAGAATTTAGAATATCTGCACTAATAAAAGGCTTAGATGCCTTTGTTTTTTTTTCTCTCATGGCAGTCATAACCGAGGATTTTTAACAGCTTTAACCACTTTTGCTAATTGAGTGAGGGTAGATGAAGAACCTGATTTAATTAGAATATGATATTCAACAACGTAGCTTCTTTTGCGATTATGAGCTAAAGTAAGAAACTTGAATACCAGTATGGCATTGCCACACTATACTGGCTTCCTGAGCCTGTGACCCATGTGGGCCCCTGTGCTCAAATGGTCCTGTGCTTGGTGTTTAAAGTTCTGTATTTGCTCAAAGTCTTGAAATTCTTTATAATTTTATATTTGATTTTGTGTTTTAGAAATGAAGTCCAATGGGACAGGAGTATGTCCTTAGCTCATGCATGGGTCCCTCTAGCTCCCCACCACCATGGCATGGGTTTTCAGTCATTCACTTACTGTTTTCATGGGTTCCCACCTGGCCACCACCTCCATCTGCTGTCCCTGTCCCTGTCCTATCACTGCTGATGCCTTCTAACTGGCACTGCAGTTGGACTGTGTCAGAAGGGGAGGCCCATATTCTACCTTTACCTTCCTCCCCCACTGGGGGTGGGGTACAGGCCAGGAGAGAGGGTGGAGCAGGTGCCCTGCTGTGCCTTGTGCCTTATTTTATTTTTGAACACAATGAACATTTTAAATCTCTAATGAGGTTGTGTTTTATATTTATGACTTCATGTTTTGTAGGACTCACTAACCACATTGTGTTAATACTGCCAATATACAGTGGGAAAAGGCCAAAAGGTTGAGAGTCTCAGAAACCTTCCTTCCTTTTGGTGCATCAGGGGTGATTATCAAGGCCTGCATTATTGGGATCCTCTTTGTTTCACTGACCAGTGAGCTGGTAGCGATTTCAGAAAGCAGTCATCCCAGCCTGTAATGCTTCTCTGCCAGCCCAGGTGCAAAGAGAACAGTGCTGTTTCCCTTTCATTCCCCAACTTTCTAAACACCTTTTGAGAAGTCTTAGACTCAAAGCTATGCTCGATGCCCATCTTACTCCAGGTGCTCTTGGGTGCAAATACCATGGTAGACACACAATGGCGTTTAACCTTGGTCCTCACATTCCGTGGCCTGGTCCCACCATTGACCAGAATGTTCTAATCAGCATATCTTTTCTTAGGTGCCTCACTCCTGATGCAGAAGCCCGTCCAGATATTGTAGAAGTCAGTTCAGTGATATCAGATGTCATGATGAAGTATTTAGACAATTTGTCTACATCCCAGCTAGCCTTGGAAAAGAAGCTGGAACGGGAACGGAGGCGCACACAGAGGTATTTTATGGAAGCCAACCGGAATGCTGTCACGTGTCACCATGAGCTGGCTCTTCTATCTCAGGTATGCGCAAATCTTTCAGTCTCTTGATGATGTACTCAAATAGGCTGTCTGAAGTTTTTCATGCCTGTTTTAAAGAAAATTTAGCTAAAGTTAGGAAAATACTAGTTGCATACAGTATTTCAGTATTTTATAGTTACATATTTACATCTAATTTTATACATTATAAATAAAATTAAAATAGCTGAATATAACTGACCTTCCAAAGAACTAATCCATAATTTATTGTATATTGCAAAACCAGAGGTATCAAAAAGTTTTTTTAGCAATACTTTATGTTCAAATTATAGTCTTTGAATAAATAGCAGTGAATGCTTATATTTAATTTCTTCAGCAATTGCACCTTTTGGGAATATGGATGAAAATGTCGTGAGTTAATTCAGAGAAGGAAATAACATTTGCATTTAAAATTTTTCTTATTTGTCTCTGTAATTGATTTCATTACTGTTTGTGGCAGTAGTAATATTGTGGCAGAATAATATTCAAATTGCAAAGTGTTTTTATTTTTCTTCCCAGCTAACTTTAGATTACTTTGATATTTAAGTGTGTTTCTGAGCATAGCTTGACGAAGGGATGCCAAGGCTACAAATTTCCAGATGTGCAAGTGACAGTGCCAGAAATGCTCTTGTTGCTATCTCTTATTTTCCTTCTTCTGTGCCTTGGTTGCAATCATGATCCATGATCCATTGTTTGCTCATGCTCTGGGCCTCCACCTGGCAGGGATCCAGCACGGGTCATTCAATCCAGTACATGTTCTTTTCTTCCATCCTGGGGTGGGACCCAAGACAATAGGATCACAAAGCCCATTCTTGGTCAGAGTACCTGGTCATTAAATTCCTTCTCAGGATCCTAAAGACCTGCCCTATTTCAGCTGGGAAATTATATAAGAAGCTGGTGTCAAAGAAGAGGCAGTTCTTATTACTTCAATAGCAGTGTTTCCAGCAAATTCCTATTTAAAAAGGAAAAAAGCACTACTATTCAGTGGGTTTGTCTTGAGGTACTTGGAATCCAGAAATTGAAGATTTAATGTAGTTTTCTTTTGAGGGGAAATTCTTTCAGGGTCATTGCCTTAAATGCTGAGCCCAGATGTAATTTCACAGAACAATTCATGATGATGACCTAAGGCCTTGGTTTATGTTTAGGAGCATATATCTTGGAGTTAGAGCTCTCACTGAACACAGTTAAATCTCATACATGGGAAGTTAGAGCTCACTTTATTTTACTAAAGTGACTTTGTAAAAACTAGGCAACAATGAGAAACATATCATTCTATGTGTGACATGTTGCATTCCCAGTAGACAGACATGTAAGAGATTTAGGTATTTCTATATATCTTAGGTATTTGGGGCCTTCTATTAAATTCTGAACATTAAAGCTACTTAGCCAATTTCCAATTGGATATGAAAGAATCACTGTATATTACATTCATGTGGCTGATGTGGGGGTGAATGGAGTTAGTTTAAAATCTAACAGCAGAAATCCTCTTATCTTTAGCAAAACACCTTGAGAAGGACCATTTTACATATTTATTTATTTAACCTATTTAATTTTACTTCTCAACTTTTTGTTTTTATTCTTTATGATGGAACATTTCAAACGTTCATAGAAGCAAAGAGTGCTTCCTGTACCCATCCCCCAGTTTCAACAATTAGCTACTTGGGGCTATTTCTGTATCATCTCTATCCCCACCCACTTCCCACTCCCTGACATTCCCAGATTATTTTGAAGCAAATCCCAGATACCATATCATTTCATCCATCAGTATTTCAATATGTATTTGGAGAGCCATCTTACCTATAGAAATCTACCTCTCAGATCATGGACAGGTAAAACAAAGGGAGAGCTCTGAGGTCAAGGGAGGGGTGTTGTGATTCTAGAGGTTGTGTACTCATCTGTAAATTAGGAAGGAAAATATTACCAACCTCAGAGGTTATTAGTATTAGTGAAGTTAAGGTATTTGAATATACTGTGCAACTTAACAAGTGGCATAAAAGTATAAGATAGCATCGATTATATAAAATAATCAAAGCTTACATTAGAAAAATAGATTGTTGATATAGCTTGTTAATCTAGTGCTGACTTGTCCGAATGGTCACTAGCATTAAAGCCACATATGTCAGTCATTCAGTAAATGCCCATTTATTGAGTACATGCTGCTAGCCAGCATCAGTGCCCTCATGCAGTGTTCAGCCTTTCATGGACCAGAGAGAAATGCTTTACTTCAAAGCAAAGTTGATGTTACTGCTTCAGAGTCATAATATACCTTCTTCTCTTGCACAATTTTAAGTATACTGACGATTTTTCATTTCAAGATTAATCAAGTATTAACTAAAAGGAAAAAAATATAGCTTTGAAAGAGAGCATGAAGTTAATTGGCGTTATCCTTACTGGGGACCAATTATTATTTTTTAAAACTTGCATCTATACCATTGCTGGCAGAAAAATTACAGGTGTAAAATTTTATCTCTTTTTTTCTTAAGCAGTATTATGATTGTTTCATTTCGAATATAGTGAAATGTTCTCCCAGAGCAGTTAATATCAATAATACAGCTACACAATCCACTGATAAATGATGGTCAAAAAAAACAGAGGTTAATAGGTTCAGTAGAACTTTATCAATTCCCAGAACCAATAAGCAGACTCATTGTGAGTTTCTGAAATTTTGCACATTAGTGGTTAGGCAAATGATAAGAAATGTTAAAGCCTCCTGTCTCATGGGTGAATATGCTATTTATTTTCACATTTTAGCTTATTCTTAATTATGGAAATTTTCATAATAGGTTAGTGAGGACAAGTACTAATATATATTTCAAAAAGACAGAAAAGTTCAAAGTGGACTAATGAAGTTCACTCCTGTGTATTGTGGTTTACCCACTATGAAAGTAAAGCAAGACTTTCTTTTTGAAGAATGTTAAGCTTTCCAATTTTTATAATTCAAAATAAGAAATCATAAGGAGGGCACAGAGCTGAGAATGATAAGAATCAGGTAGAGTAAAATGAGGTAATATTTTTACTTAAATGTGTAATAATTAAAAGGACATTGTAAGATAGAGGGTATTATGGCATTGTAATAGGCAAAACCATGATTGGCATTTTGGCACTGTGCACAATGTGTTGAGCACACAGAATCAATATTCTTTGGGTATTATCTTATATCTCAGACAGAAAAATTGGTCACAGACATTTCTAGAGTATATTTCTCAGGTCTTCACCAACAAATACAAGGATGAGCATTAAAAAAATTCAACCTGGAAAAACCTGGAGAATCAATGGAAAACTTCAATTCCATTTAGATTATTGGGAGTTTGTGGATACAGGTTTAGACTGATATTTACATAGGTGAATAAAGTGTATTATTTCTACGTGAACAAATGGAGCAGAGCTGAATGTTCTGGGGAGACTGAAGAGTAATCACGAGAGAAGCATGCTCTTGCAGTGTGAGATTTGCAGGGATTACAACTTCTCTTCCAGTGATATTTGATGGGAATTTTATCTTTACCACCCCTATTTTAAAACTGAATGTTGATTTCTTTTTATTAGCTTAATAAGTTCTTTCAGTTGGAGAACTGCTTTCACATCATAAGCCTATTAGGGAACAATACAAAGAGAGAAAAATTGAAAATGTTTGCGGTCTACAATTAATAATGAAAGAACAAGGATTTGTAGGATGTGAAGTTATAAAAAATTATAAACAATGGTCCCAGTTGTGAAGTAGCTTATAATCTGTTTGGGAAGACAAGACAGATATGCATATGCAGGAGGAAATTTCTGATGATTACAGATAGTTTGGGTAAATAACAAGTGAAGTATATGGGAGATAGTTCAAGGAGACTCCCAAAGCAAACAGGGAAGATTGGGCCTTGGATAAATAGATATGGAAGTCACTCCTGGGTGGAAAGGAAATAGCAAAAGTTCAGAAACTCCAGATATACCAGCTTGGATTGAGTACGCAAGACTAAGAGTCAAACTTAGAAGTTGTTCTGTTTTATGCTTTATTTTAATAAGCAAGGAAAGGGAAACCAGAAATTAGGAGCCTTCTCCAAGGTCATCTAGCTAGTTAGTAATAGGCTCAGGCCTGAAAGTTGTGTCTGTTGATTTACAATGCATGTTTTCATATGTATAGTTTGAAAAGTCTGGGAAAGTAGACTGGTGCTAGATGGTGAAAATCTATGAATACATTGTTAAGGTGTTGGAATTCAAACCTGTGGGTAGTATGGACTAAAACCTTGAATTTCTCCAAAATAACTGACAACCAAATTGACAGACTAAAGTTTAGTTCTTGCTTATTGTACATATTCCATTCCTTAATTTCTTCTGTGGTTTCTGCTAACTCCTCTATCCTGGTTTCCAACTTACCTCTCCGAAAACTCTCATTTTCTCTTCCAAACTCTTAACTTTAGATGTTCTGCTTCTCTTCTTGCTCTTCCCTTGAATGAGCTTCACCTAACCCCATGCCTTTTCATTTCATATAAATTTTGGTAAAAATTTGTTGTGCAAAAAGAGAACTTTATTTTCCAAAATAATACATCCTTTTATCTTGAATTCCTGTTCCTGGTGATGGCAGAAAATGATAGATGTAGTCAGTATCAATTATATCAGTCTCTTTTGATCTAAAAGTTTCTTTCCCATTTCAAGGGCTCTCTTCTCCATCTCCTCATCCCAAATTGCAGGTGGGTGCAGGAGGAAGCGGAAGCATCCCCATGCTGATGGGATGGGGGCTGGGGCTCTGCATGCTGCCTTCTTCTGTTGGCCTCTGCTGACCTTGGATGTGGTGAACCCATTTCTGTGATTTTGGGACATCGACCTCTGTCCTTGTTAAATGTTTATGGTATCTATAATTCATGGTTTCTTTTCTAATCATGGATTAAGCCCAGTGAATGGTCAATAATGCCTCAATTCCCACCTTGGGGTCGCTGTCTCTGCTCCTCTCTGAGGCCTGATTGTGACTTCCTTGCCATCTTTAGTTTAAGCAGCCTGCTGTGTGGCCCCCGGTGCAGCGATGG